CTAATGCTAAAGTTGGGCATCAGAGACGTTGCCAAAAGTGTACGTCAAAAGTTCTTGAAATCTGATACCGGTGTCACACGGGCAATTCTGATCGCGGTCAGGGCTGATCCGGATTATGCTAGATCCAGATCAGGTACAGGGACTATTAATTGCGATCGGACACGATGGCAACCTGCATTTTATCATTTGACTCCCAGATTAGTATTTGAGAGGCGCCTGCGACTAATTCGATCCAGTTTGATTTCAACAATGTAGAATCGATTATTGATGATCGCGATCAAGAAATCGATTCCGATCAACGCTCATCGCGATCAGAAAGTACACGTGAAGCATCATCATACGACTTAGACATCTACAACGTTTTGGTGAATACCAAGCCTTAAGTTAGATATTTTTTGCATATATCACAGACGCCAGAAACTAGTTTATCTCAGCACATGCTGTCTGAAGAGGGACAGTATGGGTGCCCGTACCGCGTAAACAGCTAAGGCTTCACGCAATATACGACATGCCATGATGACAAGAAGACACAGAGCACAGAATAGATGAGGCTCATTTTCTTGCTGCATTTGCAACCAGGCATGCATACGAGGTTTAATTACTCTGCGAGCGCGAAAACACCTCAGAGTCCTGGATATATTGCAGTCTTCAGCGTGCATTGTATTCATACTAGCGGCGGGCTTGGTCAGCAGGCAGGAGGAAAGGTGAAAAGAGAGGAGAGCTGCTGTGGCTACACCTCCACGTTGAGGCAATCAGTCGCCCCAAATGAGTTTTGGTACTGCGAGTCCAAGATAAGTGCGTTAGTATTGTTACATGACATGCGGGGTTCGCGGGAGCGAAGAAATGACAGCCAGTTCCATGCCGTGAAAACCATCGGAATAGCGAGGCTGTAAGCGCGCGAGATCATGCGGTGTCGTAAATCCGCCGCTATATTTGAAAATCATCATGATAATTTTACATCATCATAATTGTTCTCGTATAGTATAACTATCAACATAACCAGTTCGAGTGCCATCGTCATTTCGTTTTATATCTTTACTAACCCCATCTGCTCACGTGACTACTATACTGCTGCTATTACTACTACTGCTACTACTACCCCTACTGCTACCACTATAACAGTACCACTACTACTAACTACTACTACTACGACAACGACACAAGGTAGCCATAAGCCAATGGTTAGCATTACTGGCTAAGGCTGTAGCCAGGACTAACCAACACTATTTAAACACTAATATTACTTATTGCAGGCATTCTACGAGTAAATGTTTCTGTCTTCACACACTCTCTGCAGGTGCAAGATTAATGTAATAGTCCCTATTTCATCTTGATTACACTTTGTGTGATATGCTGCACGTTTTCTATGCGTTCTTGACGAAATCTTCAGACACATGAGAGACGAGAGGACAAGCGCGTGTGTTTGTCTTCGCTAGCGGTAAAATTGAAGTGTCGTCAAGTATTCTGCGACCTCGTCCAGCGCAAGTTCTTATTACCAGAGCCTTATTACTCGAGGTGTTTTAGAGGCGAAGCTCCTTAAGGCGTGGGCTGTGCGTCCCCTGTATGTAGCCACCTCTCGTTTAGTTCTTGCAGTGTCCACTAGATGGCGGTACCGTCTCCCGTATGTCACCTCCTCTCGTTTAGTTCTTGCAGTGTTCACTAGATGGTGGCACCGTCTCCTGCATGTAGCCATCTCTCGTTTAGTTCTTTCAGTGCTCACTAGATGGCGGGACCTGTAGCTGATGATGAAAAGATGCAAGATGTTATAAACTAGACGGCTGTACTTGTAGTTGATGATGAAAGATGCGAGATGTTATAAAATAGGAATGATGTCACATATGGCACGTGTCATTGCTGGAAGGCAATCGTTCGATTTAGTGCGGCGACGTACGCTAGGGGGAGCATTGTAATAAAATCGAGTAGGCAAAATGTACGGAAGATTCATGGTTTACCAGGTTTTCCTCCAGAGCTTCGCCCACTCATCATCATTCACTTCGTGGATATGGCGGCACTTTTTTTGCTATGACCCTCTTTTCCCATTTTAGACCAGACACCTTGTCTCTGTCTTGTTTATACATTTTACTTTTTGGTGCTGGTCCACTTCAGTGGATCAGCGGTTAAGGTGCTCGGTTGCCGACTCGAAGGTCGCAGCTTCGATCCCGGCTGGGGCGATCGCATTTCGACGGAGTTGAATTGCTAAACGCCCTTGCAATGTGCGACGTCTGTGTACGTTAAAGAACACCAGGTGGTCGAAATTTCCGGTGGCCTCCACTATAGCGTCTCTCGTAACCAAATCGTGGTTTTGGGACGTAAAACTCCAGATATTACTGTTGATATTACTTTTTGATGCTGACCTACAAGCTGCCTTCGACACCGCATCTACTTACAATACGATTATTTACATTAGAGAACACTAACGTAACACACATCCTATACGCGTGCATCGATGGGCCTCCGTGTTTACGTCCTTCTATCTTCTGCGCTTTACGCGATGACTTGGAGGCCTCCAAGCACGCTATCGCGAAGTAACACCGAGCTCAGCCGAGCTCTTGTTTTGAAGGGAGCCCGCAACCCTTATGTCAACGAGGGCGGGTTCCCCGTTCATTTCCGCCAGCGCAGCGGCGCCTGCACGCCGGAAACTCGCCCAGCTCGGGGCTGACCTTTGAGTGCCTCTCCGCGGAACTCGAAGGCGCTGCACGCTTCTACTTTCGCTTTATTCTGCCCACGAACCAATCACGCCAGCCACGCCAGCGGGAGCACATATTATGCGTGCATGCCCGCACGCCGTGCCCCACAACAAAGGACCCTTTGTCTTTCTCCGGGAACCTTATATACGGCAGCGAAACAAAAGAGAGTTTTAGTACTGCGTACGTGGAGGCGTTGCGTACGTAAGGACGCCACGTTTTGCGTGGTGCGCATGCGCAGACCGCAACGCGCACGTATCGCGTTACGTACGCAGCCGCTACGTACGCACGCATGAGATGCGTGCGTACGTACGCATGAGATGCGTGCGCATGAGATGCGTGCGCACGTACGCATGAGATGCGTGCGCACGCATGAGATGCGTGCGATGGCGGCATCGAAGGCAAGCACCGACCGGCTCTGTGGCTTAAAATATGGCCATAATCTGGCTATAACACTTGGATTGGCTCACATTGGCTGTCAACAACACGTGCTTCTATTTTGATCTACCAGATGACGCAACACGCTTCACGCTCGTTACGTACGCGGGTACTACGGCGTACTAAAAGCCGATTAGTGGCAAACGACGCCACGTAACGCAAGGCGCTTGCGTGATGCGTACGTAGCACCATTCCGCAGTACTAAAACTCTCTAAAAGTATATGCTCGTAACGTACGACAGCAATGCGTCTTTATCCGTTGTGCTGCGCGTGGCACTGTGCGCGGCCGTCGTAATAAAGTCTCTCTCTCTCTCCTCTCTTTATTGTACGGTCAGTTGTCGCAGCTTCACAGTCAGTCGTAGTCAATGATGCATTCGAGCACTCATTGTGAGCACTGCAGTATAAGTACGCCCGTTCGTATTCCTTCACCCAGTAAACAAAAAGATAGGAAACGGGGTTAGATATCGTGCACTTCAGTAGTCACGCAGACATAGGCAGTATCACTTTCTGTTATTTCCATCGAGTTGAGTGAATGAGTGGATTCGAGTGAGTGTATTCTTTCCTAAAGGCATACCACAAGTAGCACTTTCTGTTACTTCGATCGAGTTGAGTGAATTCTTCTATGCTGTTAAGTGGAGTGGAGCGATTCTGAGAACTGCAGTATAGAAGGACCCACCGTTCGTATTCATTCACCCAGTAGGCAAAAAGAGAGCCGTAGCTACTGTGCACTTCAGTAATCACACAGCGGTGTTCCTAACCCTTCCTCAAGGCATACTACTCAGCAAAGCTTTGTTACTTCTATCGAGTTGAGTAAATGAATGGAGTGGAGTGACTCTCTTTATCAAGGCATACTACAGAGTATCACTTTTTGTTAAGTGAATGCGTAGAGTGAGTGAGTGTGAGTATGAGTGAGTGAGTGAGTGAGTGTATGACTGAATGAGTGTGAGTGAGTAATGTGAGTGAATGACCACCCATTACATCTCTTGATCCGACGCACTGCAAAAACACATGTACACGAGAGTGCTTCAGGCAAGGAGACACAGAGACGATGCTGGTAAATATGAGGTAGCTAATTGGACGAGTTCGAAAATACGGCGGCCAGCGCAAACAAAACACAGTAAGAGAAAAGGACAGGCATGACGGCTTCTTATTCTAAGCAGAACCAAGAGATGCCGAAATGTCAGCTACAGAGGTCCAACCCCACGATAGTTGCATTTTCTTGTGTTGGTATGCCCCAAGTTAATCGTATACTACCGCTTTCGAAACCGGCATTCAACGTATACACTGGATGTGTTTTGTTGTGTGTGTAGTCATTCTCAGGAGCAAAAAGAAAAATGCATATTCTCTATCTGCATATATGAATGCAGATAGAGAATACGGACGTACTACATACCTTTGTTTCATGGACAAGGACTATCGACCTTATATTGCTGTACACAATAGATGTTTTTATAACCAGCAGCCCATTTAGGCATATTCTTGGGTCCCTAGTTTATTAGAGCAAGCTGAAGTCTTACAACGATGTAACAAGAGCGCTCAATTTTCAATAACCCCTTTATTCATCGTATTTCATCTCTTTCTCTCTTCGTTCTTGGCGCTAAGCACATCTATAAATGCGCACCCAATCAGTGCCTGCCGAGTGAGGCTTTAAAGAAGTCCGTAAAAGGCCTCACAGAATTCGCGCACATTGTGTATAGGCCCAAATGGTGCCACCATGTAAAGAATATAGTCCCAGTATAGTCGATAATATACCATAGTACAATATAGTATGGTATAGTATATTGTTGTTCAGTACAATACGGTATAGCATAGTAAAGTCTGACCCATAGACTACAGTGCTCGTATATTCCAACCAAGTCTACGCATATGCGGCTCGCAGGTGGCGTCTCCGGACTGGACGGAGCTCCGTCAACGCGTCCAGTGGCTGTGGCCCGTGCACGCGTACGGTCTGGCCTGCCTCTTTCTCGGGCTCGCCGTCACCGCCTTCCTCACGGCGCTGGGCCTGCGGGCCAGGCTATCGGCGAGGCCGCACCTCTCAACGCTCAACGTCTTCCTCCTGGTGCTGGGGCTCACGCGATGTCTCTGCCTGTTCCTCGACCCGTACGGTTCCAGGCAGGTGAGTGGGTCTTACAGTGATGAAAAATTCTTTGAACAAAGGGTGCCGACGTGTCGACTAGCAGACTTGTCTTCTTCAAGGCTGAGACTGTGTACCTATACCTCAGCGCGTGTAGCATATGTAGAGTGCAGTTGTACAAGATGACGTTGTTGTCATCGCGCAGCTGATGCCGAGTGTGATGCTGGCCATGCTTTGGGACCTGGCCTTCCCGTGCCTGCTGTCGGCCTTCGCGCTGCTGCAGCTGGCCTTCGTGCAGCTCACGCAGGCCAAGCCCAGTCCCGCACGAGTCGGAGACGAGACGTGCGTCTCGCTCGTCGTCGTCTTCCACTTTTGTCTCGCCATTGCCTCGGACCTCTTCTGGGCCATGCAGAACTCGTTCAGGGTGAGACTCTTTGACCTCGTTGCTGAGGCTTCCGTCCTCCCCCCCCCCCGCCGCCTGTGCCTTGCAAAACTTCGATATTCGCGTACTTCTCGCGTTGACGTGGGGAACGAAGCTACGTCTGTTCGTGAGCGCTAGACATGACCTTGAGTACTTGTTCCCTGCTTTTTTTGTGTGCGTGGGTACTTTCAGTGCGATGGTGAGCGAACGCGCTAGCACGGCACGGCATCCCGTGGCGGTCAAAAGTAACTATGCAGTTCACAAAGCTAAGAATTAGGATCGCGTAAGCTTAGCGAACCGCCTACACGTCTCTTTCTACAGTTTAGGTTTTGTTCCCTGCGCAGCAGCTACAATATTCTGCCGTAGTAAAGTCTATGGTGCACTCTGTCGTAGGCCGTGTGGCGCGGCACGAAGCACCCCAGCGCTGCTTTTGTTGTTGAAAGTGACTTAAGTACGGTGGGTCTCTTGGTTTCTGGAGACACCGTGGCTTTATAGGTTGTACATGACTGTATTATCGAAGCGTCCTTCCCGCGCATCACTCCTCAAAGATGCAACGTCCCAGCCACTAGAGGAAACTGCATGGACTTCACGCCTCTTTTTTTTTACTTTTTAATACGCACGTCTCGACAAGATGCGGTCAATTCGGCTACAAAATGACGGCGAACGTACAGCGGTGAGCACTGTTAGGGTGAACACGCGAGCGCCGTGGCCGATGGCACTGTCAGCGCCCCGTTACGGTCATCACTGGAAACATTGCGCATGCGCATCACGCCTTCCGCGAAATAATTGTTCCAGCCGCGCGCATGACGTCATGAATGCACTTGTTCGTCGTCTGCTAGCCACATTTTTGTTTTCTAAGCCCATGCATCCTGCATTTTAAGATTTCGTTAAACATCTGTGCTTGAACAGAACAAGACAAAAAAACTTGTATATCTATGGGGGCGTGTCTATTCATTCCCTTCAAAGTTGTTGTGCATGCAACGCCGTATATAAAACAACCAAACAACTTTTGCAGCCGTTCATTCTGTCGCCAGATCGTATTATGGCTAGGGTTCTTGATGATGTAAGGCGCTCAATTGTCGATCTTTCCCTGAAAGGTTATTCCCAGCGGTATATTGGCGCTTTAGTTAATAGGCCCCTGAAGACTGGGAACAGGATAATTCAAGCCTACAAGTATGAAGGTCGCATTCAGGGTGCACCCCGCGCGCCCCGCCCAAAAGCTACCACAGTCGATGAAGACGCCCTCATAGTTGCAGTTGCTGTTTGTCACCCTTTCTTGCCAGCCCCATCAATACGCGAGGACTTGGATTTGGACGTTTCGGACACCACTGTTCGATGTCGCCTGCGTATTGCTGCCCTTCGCAGTCGCGTCGCAGCGCAGAAGCCATTACTAACGGCGGCACACAAGGACGCACGACGGCAGTTCGCTGAGTTGCACGAAGCATGGACAGCAGAAGAGTGGGGTCGCGTTATCTTTTCGAATGAGTCGACGTTTTCGACGCTACAAGACCAAAGATTGCGTGTTCGGAGACTACCAGGCACACGGTGAGGCAAACTTCCTGCTTTTAAAAGCAATCGTTTTAGTTAACGTCAAAATGCCTCGCAGTGAACGACCCAGACAACGTGCAAGGTGTTTCTGCCAGTGAGAGATCGAGTGTGAGCGTGTGGGGTGCTGTTTCAAGATATGGTTTAGGGCCCCTGTAACGTATACGTGGACACTTATCGTCGGAACAATACTGCAACATTTTGAACAATGTGCTGTTGCCATATGCGAGCAGTTTATTTCCAGACGGTGATTACCTGTTCCAACAGGACCGGTCACCGTTACGCATGGCGCGGGCTGTCAAGGAGTTCCAGGCGGAGCAGCACATGCAGCTACTGGAATGGCCTCCAAAAGGAGCGGACCTGAATGCGATTTTAAACGTGTGGGGCCGTCTGAAAGCTTCTTTGGCAAGGAAGCCCCTTTATTCCGCGACTTCGGACCAGTTGTGGGCGCAAGTCAGCAACGAGTGGGAAAGGCTGAAAGCCGATCGGGAATATGTTCGATCACTTCACGACTCGTTACCGTCAAGAATATCCCGGCTGCGGCGGCTGCATTTCCGATGGAGGCGGAAATGTTGTAGGCCCGTGTGCTCAGATTTGGGTGCACGTTAAAGAACCCCCAGGTGGTCTAAATTTCCGGAGCCCTCCACTACGGCGTCTCTCATAATCATATAGTGGTTTTGGGACGTTAAACCCCACATATCAATCAATACCGTCAAGAATAGCTGCAGTCGTTGCTGTAAGTGGTCACATGACTCGCTATTACATTTGCTCATCTTTTTATATTTTGTTCTCATGGTCTTGTTTAACTTCAATTGCAAAAGTGCAATTTTCTTGAATAAAAAGTTTAATAATTATCCCTCTTACACTCACTTTTTTTCCTTCACGCGCCAATCTTCAATCCAGATGGACCTTGAATTGCAGAAGGTATCAGCTCAGCGAACAAAAAATGCGGCTAGCAGACGACGAACAAGCGTATCGATGACGTGATGCGCGCGGTGGAAAGAGTTTCGCAAAGCACATGCTGCGCATGTGCAATGTTTCCAACGATGGCTGTTACGTGGCGCTGATAGTGCCGTCGGCCACGCGCTCGTATGTTCACCCTAACAGTGCTCATCACTGTACCAAGTAAACGTACCATCGCGCTCTTCTGATTCGGCTTCACAGCGGCGCAAGAGATGCAGGTGCGCCTCCATGGCATCACAGCAGGCGATGCGTTTTTGTTTTGCTTTGTTTGGTACTCTTCCAGGCGCTACAGAGTGCCCGACACTGCATTGCTAGAAGCGCACTGTATACATCACTCGTTAAGGGAGGTTTTATAACCTATAACATGTCCTCGGTGATCGCGCTCGCTCACACGGCTTGCGTACGCGCACCATCTCAGTGCTCGTGGTCCAGGACAGCAACCGACCAATATCCCCCACCTCATTCTCGATCGCAGGTGGTGTGGCTGTTCACCCAGCTCTCGTTCACTGCCTGGGGTCTGTTTCTGTGCTCGACGTGCGTGTGCTCCTGCCTGCGGCTGCAGCAGTCCATCTCCCAGCTGCCCATGCTTCTATTCCTGCCCCCGCAAGGCCCTGGAGACGCCGCGACCGAGGTCGCGGCATCCTCGGCATGCTACGAGAACAAGGGCATCATGGCTCTCGGAACATTGGAAAGGTCGGTACACAGCTGCGAGCAAACATTCATGTGTTCTTCATGTGGGTGCGTTCCGGGCCTTATACAGCTAAGCGTACAACGGCCATCTTAGGTCTTATTTCAATCCTCACGCGGCCGGCTAAATAGCCCCGAAAAAACGACATCGGAGAGCGAAGACTATGCAGGCTACTTTGCTGTCCAAACAAGATGGCGACTTAGCATTTTCATCCGTTTCACGTGCACGTACCTACACCTGAAGGACCCCTAAAGCAGTCAAAGAGTTCAAAGACGAGGAAGTGGTATATAGCTCGCCTGCAGTATACCCTTCCTACAAGTGCTATCGTCTCCTCAACAATTATTTCTTCTTAAAAAAAACGTGAGCGATGTCAGCAGTTAAGCTATGAGCCAATCGAGATTTTGCGCTTTTCGACTACATGCTATGATATCCGCTTGCGCAGTCGAAAGCACACAAAGCGGTGGAAATCTGGTGGTCGCGCTTGATACTCATGCAAGACAAAGTAGTACGGGTGTGCAACCCTCGGATATTCCTCGTATATGGACCGATCGATCAATAATTTCGTCGTGACGCCACGTGAACAAGCTGAGGGCGTCACGGATTCTACTGAAAAAAGAACGGAAAACGACAGGCGAGAACGATGCGCTTGTTCATTCCGTTCCCAGAGGTCATATAAGACAGTAAAGTCATTTTGGGGCCCTTGAAACGCAGCATCAACGTTAAGTTAGACCATAAATCTTTTAATTACATAACAGACAATCTGAAGAGAAGACTTCTATCATCGCAAAAGAATAATAAGAAACAAATTTGCTAAGGCACGTTTCCGGCCTACTTGGATGGGGTTCCTCATTCATATGGCTATAGCACACCACGACAAGGACACCAAAAAGATACATACACACGCTGTGTGTGTCTCTCTCTCTCTTGTGTCCTTGTCGTAGTGTGGTATAGTCATATAAATTATGAATAAGAAACATAGTTGAAGGACGCTAGTCAACTCACAGTCTTTTAAAAGATAGGCCTGTTCCACGCAACATTTTTCCAGATCCGGCAGTGGCGGAGCCGGCCGCTCCATGCCGCGCAGCTACACGGCCAGCAGCGTCCCCATGCGCGGGGCTTGGGAGGCACTGGCGCCCAGGATTCGGGTCACCGACGAGCACCAGCGCACCATCAGCTTCAGCAGCGCGCAGGGCGCTGGGGGAGGACCCTCGTCCCCTTCCAACGAGCACAGAACAGCCTGTGAGTCGGCCTCAGTTGCTGTCACATTCGTGATTACGAGTGCACATCAGAGCAAGCGACAGGAGGGAACTGAAGCGAGGGCACAGAGTGCTCAATTTCCAACAGTTTATTTCTTTAGAAAGCATTCGCTTTTTAAAATTATTTACACGCTGTGCAAACATTCGCAGAATACGATGACGTTACAACAATTCATCACGCGGACAAACCTAATCACATCTTTTATCAGTGAACGCGATAGAGGGTGTACTTACACAATCATTCTTCAAAGCGAAAATCTTTGCTGCTTGTAGATAGTTTTTAAGGATGAATGTGTAGGTACACTCTCTGTGGCGCTGACTGATAAAAGGAAAGATGCACTTAGGTTGGCCCACGTGATCAATTCTTGTGATTTCATCGTGTTCAGCACATCGTTGTTGCATCAGCGTGTAAATGTGTAAACAGGTTAAAGCTTTTCTAAAGAAACAAACTTCAGTTCAGCGCTCTATGTCCCCGGCTGTCGGCTGCACTGGTACTTTCGCTCATAACCATAGTGTACCAACAGTCTTCCAAGTTCCAGTTGTGGCTGCAGCCTCAGTGCTCTCTCGTTTGTGCACATTCCTCCCTGCCTGTTCTCGCGGGGTATAGGGACAGTTCTGTGATGATGCAGGTTCTTCGCCATCGACTGAAGGTCCGGAACCGGAACCTGACGCGGGACCTGATTTACCGAAGAGCTCCGCTGGCGTGCGCTCACAGACGTCGCTGCCCCTCTGCCCCTCACAGCTCACTCGCGAACAGCAGCAGCCTCTCATGGTGCGTACACCACATCATATTTATGCCAGATTTTGTGTTTGTAAAAAGTTGTTAACGATTCTGAGTACCTCGTACTATCGCGCTCAGTATGAGCTACACCATGCGAGCGCGTGGCCGAGCACGCTGCAAGGTTGTACAGTAGCGCCAATCGTGACATTCTTTCGAATTATCGAGAGAGAGTTTGGCTGTTGGTGCGAATGCACGTCGCCCCTATTCGCTTTCACGCTCGCCCTCGCTTGGCACTGCTGTGATATCAGCTTCAAAAATGATAAGGGCCACCGTGTCCTGAAGACCAAATTTCGTGCTCGACAAGCCGAGCTTCACAAAACACGTGATATCTAGCCTCGCTCTTTTTGTTTGCTTAGTTTTATTCAGATTCGCTCGCAGGATTTCAAGCTGGACGGTTGTGCCCTCGCGATCTCCGACATCAGCGTAGCTCCCGCCGACTGGTTCGCCCTCCGCGGTCTCCTGACGCCGTGCAGCTCTCGCATTGTGGCACCCTGCCCTTGGATTGCTTCGACCGGATCCCCACTTTCCTATCTCCTTCTTTTTTTCTCTCGCTTGGCTGTCCTCTTCTCCGTCTATTTTCCTTCTATTCTTTTTATCCCTCCTTCCCCCCACCCCTATAAGGCACTGCGCCGTGTCGCCTGAAGGCAGACAGAAATTAGGTGCCTTTTTCCTCTTCATTCTAACCACTACCACCACCACCACCGTTTTATTCAATTGCGAATTCCAGACTAATGCGCCGCTTACCGTATCCCGTGAAAGTGGCTGTGTATAGCGCGCACTGTGAAACACTGGAAAGCTTCACCCCATTGGAAAATGTCCCGAGTGCCTAACAGTGAGCGCCTGCGGATAGTTGATTTGTCCCAGAAGCAGTACACTCAACGCCAAGCAGGGATGTCGAGATGGTCTAATAAGACTGTAAATCGCATCATCCAAGCTTATAAGAGAGGTCACATAAGTGACGCTCCACATAAACGGCACGCTGGTGCAACGACTGCTGCTCAGGACGCCGACATCCGCGACACCGCGAATGCAAGTCCCTTCAGTACTGCCAGAGAGATCGGTGCGGCCGCTGGAGTGTCTGAGTGTGCTGCAAGCGCGTCGACAATAAAACGACGGCTAGCAGAAGGTAAGCTGAATAGCTATGCACATTAAGGCTCAGAAGCCGCGCCTCTCCTTGTCTAATAGGACGGCGCATCTTAACTTCGCAAAGCAAAACGTTTCCTGGACCACGGACGACTGGAAGCGAGTACTTTTTTTTTCGGTCGAGTACACGTTTACCACACGCTGGAACCAAAGGCAACGTGTGTGGCACCTAGTCGATGTCTGCTACGACCCCCTCTACGTGCAAGAAGTAGCATCGAGTGGACGCACGGCTGTGAATGTTTGGTGCGCTATGTCCCGTGATGGGCTTGGTGTTTGTACCACATTGAGGCACATCGGTAAACTACAGCGACATCCTCGATTATGTCAAGATACCTTATGCGTTGGTCGGGCCTTTTCCTGACGGCGACTTTCTGTTTCAGCAAGACTTGTCACCTGTTCACACTGTAAAGGTTGTTGAAGAGCTCCTGAACATTAGAGGGGTGCGGTGCCTGAGTGGGTTCCTAAAGGGGCAGACCTCAACACCATTGAGGCCATATGGGGCAAAATGAAGGTCAGGCTGTGTAAACGAGGGTTACGCAGTTCATCTGCCGATGAGCTATGGAGCGCTGTCGAAGAAGAATGAATACGCCTCCAGAATGAACGGAGTTTCGTTGACAATTTCTCCGAGTCACTATCGTCCAGAATGCAGGATGCGATTGCTGTGCAAGGGGCCATGACCCGCTACTAAGGCGTGGTGACCGCTTCATCTGCTTTTATTTCCCGTCAGTCGCATTCTTGCATCTTAATACTATCGGTACCGAGGCACCATCGGTTCATCAGCAGCCGTTCAGCACTGGGTTCGCAGCCAAGCGCCATCGACGAAGTTACTGGCCGGAATAGAAATTCCCATGTACTTGCTTGTTATGTTATGAATCTTAGTGTAACTTGACTTTCATTTTTTGTGCACAATTCTACCTTTTTACAGTACTTATGCTATTATTCTGTTCCTAATTTCTTTGACCGCAAGAAACTGACTTTTCTTCGCCATTTCAAGCAACATTTAATGGATATTAGACAAGAATAAAAAATAAACAGCACAGCTTTTGTTTTCACTTTAATATCAGTTACCTTTTTTATTCTCGCAGTGTTTTGCTCTCTTTTGATGACCACACAATTATTTTGGAAAGCCAGGTAACTCTTTTATTCGAGAACTCTGAACACGATATCACGTCGACGTATCCATGGAAAGCGTTTCCTGCCTCCCCATTTCCTTGGCGAACTGACTGAAGAGCGGTATATGTTCATAACTAGTGTTATTAAAACGTATTATAAGCGTAGTTGTAAACAAGCGAAGTAACAGCTGCCGCGCCCATAGAATAAATACTGATAGCGACATCCGAAACAGTAATAACAGCAACACGTTGGACATTGGCAGCACAGCTCTGCTAAAAAAAAAAGTGCCGCCACATCCACGAAGTGAATGATGATGAGTGGGCGAAGCTCCGGAGGTAAACCTGGTAAACCATGAATCCTCCGTACATTTTGCCCACTCGATTTTATTGCAACGCTACCCCTAGCGTACGTCGCCGCACTATATCGAACGATGACACGCGCCATATGTGGCATCATTCCTATTTTATAACACCTCGCATCTTTCATAATCAACTACACGTACCACCGTCTAGTTTATAACATCTTGCATCTTTTGGACGGGCGGGCGGACGGGCGGACGGACGGACGGACGGATGGACGGATCGATATGGCTGTACCCTTTAGATCGGGCGGTGGCTAGCGTAATACTTAATGCCGTCAGCTACAAGTACCGCCATCTAGTGAACACTGCAAGAACTGAACGAGAGGTGGCTACATACAGGGGACGCACAGCCCACGCCTTAAGGAGCTTCGCTCCTAAAAAATCATTACTGAAAATACTGCACAGCCCGAGTCGTCACCGGCTCTCTATTTTCTCGAGAAGCATGACGCAATATAAAAGTACTCAATTCAAGTAAAATAGCACTTTCATACCCATTCTTGCACGAAGTTAACGCTCAATTTTCGATAAGATTCGCACAACATGTCTGGTGGGCGGTGAAGTCGCTGCATTGTGCTCATTTTTTTTTAGTACAGACAGAATCAGTGAGCAAAACGAAGCGCAAAAGGTTCTTCCAAATACAGAAGGGCGAAGGTGAAAGCAAGCATGCGGGGGTGATGTACATTTGCAGGATCAGCCAAACTTTCTCCCGGTAACTCGAAAGTATGTCACGATCGGCGCTACTGTACAACCTTGCAGCGCGCTCGCGTGATGTAGCTCATACTGAGCGCGATAATACTCTACTATAAAAGAGCAAGAAGCCGTCTCAACACAAAAACTTGGTTGTGACTTTGTGTTGGTTTTTATTGTTTAGAGAAATTTATTCTCACAGACAGCGAACATCAAGTACAATCCAACAGAACATTTCGACAGAACACAACATCCACAGACACACCAAAAGTTGTTACAAAAAGATATGTGTACATATGTAAACGGAACACAACATACACAACTTACCCAACTACTCAGGAATTTTTACAAAAACAATGTCTACATTTGCACAATACATGGTAAACGAAGAACACACAAATGAAATGTAGAGATCATTATGTCAGATATTTACATAGTATTTACAAGGTATTTGTATTAGTACTAAACAAAGATTAACCTACCAATACCAGACAGGCCTGAAAACAAGCCTTACACGTCTCTCACAGACGAACACAAAACGGCAGGACCAGTGTCGAAGGAATTCCTCCTCACCCAGAAAGAAGAGTTCCTCTGAGAACACAGATAGTATTTCTTTGTACAGTCGCTCCAAAATCGGGAAGAGAGCCCGGCGGCGACGACCTGCTGCAACAGCTTCACTACGGTTACGCCAAAGACAGTAGGCACCAGCAACAATGAGAAGACAGGCAAAGCGGCCTCGAGAACAACGTCCAGAAGAAACAAAGCGGTTTACTCCGAGGCCACGAAATCCTGCATGCACAGCCCCCCAGAAGACACGAGCAACGACGCATTGTCTTAAAACATGCCGCACAAACATCGTTGGCGCTCTATACGTGTGGTAGCTGGAAAGGTACCTCACTGGCTAGCGTACAGAAATGCAGCCCTGGAAAATTCACTGGTCAATTGCGTACTTGTACGCGACATTTTTAATAACTCTTGCTCACTAGATCGAGAGCTTGCAGGCGATCTGTCATTTTCCGTCATGACAATCTGATCTTTTATCCCCGTCACTGGTCATTTCACGCTGCTACATTTTGTTTTTGCCTGGATATGAACGCGCGTGACCATTGTCGTTGTATGCCACGAACTAAGCCGTAACACTACTGTCTCCGCAGTCCAAACTGGAGGCCGAATTCAGCGTCGGCGAACAGCGGACCTCCTCGGGCGTGCAACACGTTCGCGACCAGAGGCGGAGCACCCTACCGAAAACCGGCGGCCACTCGACACGGGCGTGGGCACGTCCACGAGAAACCACCAGTTCACTGCTGTAAGTAATGGCTACACTTGATCATCTCATATTGAGTAAATACTAATAACTGTTTGAGTTTGACGTCCGAGAAACACGGCATGATTTATGAGAGAGGCCGTATTGAAGGGGGGGGGGGGAATAAACAACAAGAGGGAAGGCAGGGAGGTTAACCAGGCACATGTCGGGTTTGCTACCCTACGCTGGGGGAATAGGAAGGGGGCATAAACATGAGAGAGAGAAAGAGAAGAGAAGAGAGAGAGAGAGAGAGAGAGAGAGAGAGAGAGAGAGAGAGAGAGAGAGAGAGAGAGAGAGAGAGAGAGAGAGAGAGAGAGAGAGAAAAGGATTGTCAGTCAATCGGCTGGCGCGTATGCAGCGGTGGCACTACACAAAAGTTAAAGGTGGTCACATAGGCCTGTAGTCCTCAAAAAGCACAAGACAGCTTTGACTGCTTTTTGAGCCGACGAAAGGCGATGACGGTGTTCCAGTAGCAGAGAGTGGCCGATCGTCCAATTGTCGCAATGCGTCCGAAAGCTTGTGTCTTTCAGAGGCAAATCGAGGGCAATGGGATATCAGATGGTCGGGCTCCGAGAATTTCTACCACCTGGGGTTTTTCAACGTGCACCTAAATCTGAGTACACGGGCCTCTAGTATTCTCGCCTCTATCGCATTGAAGTGGGTATGGATGAGTGAATGAATAAACGAATGGTTTGTTTATTGTCATACTTATTTACCTTTCCCGTTCTGCATTTCAAATCAGTCCTATCACACTGGTTAGTTAAGGTAGGCGTCTCAGACGTGTTAAAGAGAAGCGATTTTGGACGCCGTTGTTTTCGTATGCCATTACAGAAATAAAAAAATGCTCGAGCAGGTCTAAACATAAGTTAAGGAAAGTTCATAAATAAGGGATCATAAATTCAAAAATGCAGGATGTTGCCGAAGCCGATGCTTCAACAAGTCCGCCGTGGTGGCGTAGCGGTGCTTGGCTTCTGACCCGATACCGGTATTTCGATGGACGCAAATGCTAGAGGCCCGTTTACTGTGGATGTCCGTGCACGTGAGCGAACCCCAGACGGGCGAAATTTCCGGAGCCCTCCACTACGGCGTCTCTAATAATCATATCAAGGTTTTCAAATGTAAAACCCCAAATCTTATTAATACACTTGGCGCCGTGCACGTCCGCGCGTTGGATAAACGACGACGGTGAGCAAGCTTCACAGTACGCAAATTCAAACGGAAGGTGTTGGTTCTGCTACAACTTTAGTTAACAAATGTAACTTCTCGTGAACACTCTGGCTGCTCCTCGATCCTGTTGTGTATCAGTAGACCGTTTCGCAACATGCGTGATACACGCATCAGCTCTCGAGTGATTTTGCACTCAGGACGAAGGGTTCAAGCGAAAAGTTGTTGCAAACAGATCTAATGTGATTGCGGCCCCTCACGAAAGCGCAGCAGCCAGCGTTACAGGAAAATGAATAAATGTATGCGCATATCGTATGTAGTAGTTAAAGCGTGTTCGAAAAAAAAAATGGCTCTTGCTTAACAGTGGTAACTGCAGAGTTATACAGAAAGTAGGAAGCGATTTTCACGTTCCAGCACAAAAAAAAAGGGGGGGGGGGCAGCAAACGCGCAGGACACAGCGCCAGCAACTTAGTTGATAGCGCTGTGTCGTGTGTGATCACTGTCATTTTTTTTGTGCGCTGTGCTGCTAGAATGATTATGAATCGACGAACCCAAAAGCAAGGTTTTCTTTCATCATCATCATCATCATCAGCCTGACTACGTCCACTGCAGGGCAAAGGCCTCTCCCATGTTCCGCCAGTTAACCCGGTCCTGTGCTTGCTGCTGCCAATTTATACCCCCAAACTTCTTAATCTCATCTGCCCACCTAACCTTCTGTCTCCCCCTAACCCGCTTTCCTTCTCTGGGAATCCAGTTAGTTACCCTTAATGACCAGCGGTTATCCTGTTTACGCGCTACATGCCCGGCCCATGTCCATTTCTTCTTCTTTATTTCAACTATGATATCCTTAATCCCCGTTTGTCCCCTAATCCACTCTGCTCTCTTCTTGTCTGTTAAGGTTACACCTACCATTTTTCTTTCCATTGCTCGCTGCGTCACTCAATTTAAGCTGAACCCTCTTTGTGAGTCTCCAGGTTTCTGCTCCGTAGCTAAGTACCGGCAAGATACAGCTGTTATATAACTTCCTCTTTAGTGGGTTTTCTTTAGTGGGCCTTAACGCTCCCGTGCCGCCACTCCAGGCTGACGACTGCGTACAGGGCCGGCAGGGGCCAGCCTCAGCCGCAGAAGAAGCGCAGCCGCGTCGAGCGACTGCTGCGCCAGACGCTGCTGGCGGCCGTGATGGGCATCGTGCTGTGCTGTCTGCAGGGATACGGAGTGGCCGGACCACACGGCATGTTCGCCGCCTCACCGAGGGCGGCCGCGGTGCTGCCCTGGTTCGCCTACCACACGCTCCACAGGTGGGCATTCCATGCGTGCAAACACGTGAAAAGCGCTCGCTTCGTGCTGTAGATACCAATAGTAAACACGGGGAGGTGATCGAGCTATTGTAGACCGAAAAACTCCGTAGTCTATTGTAGGTGGTTGAAGGCGTGTGCAGGATTCCTCGTTAGGGAAGGGGGGGGTGAAGCCCCCTTCCTTTTTTTTTTAGGGAGTCTGGTATAAAACAAGCTTCGCAATGAATGCAGAAATGAAAATTGGTTTACAACGCGTCTCTCTTAAAGGCTTGCCCTTTGGTTCTCACCTTTCCAGGGGTAAGGGTTCAAAGAAAACAGTTATTCTGAATGCAACATATCAGCGGCCTTCGGCCGGCATTATCATGAAATACTGCGAGGTCATAACCCTGCTCTTTAAAAAAATATCCTGACAGTTCACGCTCAGCAAAAGGTAGAGTGAGCCAGTTCGCTTGTGTTCATATTGGAACTGCGCAAAGACGAATGCCAAATGAAGACTATTACGGGGAAACTTAATGATGCTACATTCATGGTTCTTTGTCACGTGCATAGATAGGCTGTGCGTGCATATTTTCTTCTTTCCTTTTTATTGCTGTTATGTTTCGTTTGAATAAAACAATCAGTTGTCGACCAGTGCTCGTGTTGCTCAGTCTTCCTTTGTGATTCGTATTTGCGCTGTTCTAATACAAGTTCCCACCCAGTAACATTATGGAGTATACTTTACGCCCCCCCCCCCCCCATAAGGTAATTATAAGGGGGCACACCGCTCCACCTGCCCCCTCGTCCCCTGTGTGCAGACCTATGATTACCACGGTACTACTTAGCTGCTATACTGTATGCTCTATGCAACAAAAGAAAACCGGCAAGCGTTGTCCACCACATGCGTACCCTTACTGCGGGAAAGCCAACTCTAATGGCCGCTTTAGCAGCGTCGGTTGGCTTCAAGCGAGAACCCGTCCGTTGATTCGCTGTACGTGTTCACATAGGTGTTATGTACCATGATAAGATAGACGCTAGGGCTAGTTGGTGATTTGGAATTAACGTATCTGCACAGCGCAAGAAAAAAGAATATTTACAGCGTCACTACTCGTTTTCTTGCGCTGTGCATTTATGTTGGTTATGATATAGCATGTACCCAGCTAAAACGTAGAAAAAACTAAATGTTTTGATTTTCGCTCTGCAGTCATTTACTTCATAGTGTGATATTTCGCGTGCTTTCTTTATGAATAGAGAAAAATGAGCACGCAATTAATACGTTGTTGAAAGCGGCACAGACAGATGCCGTTACAACATGCTCACATATGCCTCATTGATATTTTGTTAATTCGTTACAAATATAATTACGAGTAATTAATTAATAGTCATGAATAGCAACAGTAGTAGCTGCTACTACAGTATACTGGGGACAATATGCGCTAGGCTTGCTTCGCGTAACGCCGTTCCTTTTTTTTTTTTTCGAATCATACTGCATGATAATCGGGTCGCCCTGTGTGTGCGCATGTGTGTGTGTACGCGTTCGTGTGTGTGTGGAGAGAGAGAGAGAGAGAGAAATTGTTCAGAAAGATTTTTTTTTCGATACATGCCACCTGAAATCTGAACAGACGACACCTCGCTCCAAGGCACGTTTAAATGCTCGGCCACACCACAGACATCCTGCAACATCCTGACGGCGAGCTAATTACATGCACCCTTTACAAATGTTGGTCGCACGCAGACGCCCGAGGTACGTAAACGTGGCAGATGCGTTTTCACAATTACTCGCTAGATGGCTTTGACGAGCCAAACGCGTTCGTCGGCTCATCTGTCGATTCCTCCTGTAGAGTTTGCACAGGGTCGGCCCTCAAGCACGCCCCTATCTCTGACTTGTCAATAGCTGAAATAATTGTTGTTGTTTTTTTCACCACCACCTACTTCCACGAATGCCCCGACTAAGCGTCCGAGGTGAAAACGCTACTTTCACGAATGCGCCGATTGGATTGGATTGGATAAACTTTTATTTGGTCCTCCAAAACACAGATCACTGTGTTGCGGGCAGCTCCCACGTGGGGACTGAGATGCCAAGCTCCTCAGCCGCCTCGCGGGCTTGGTGGACAGCCCAGAGCTGATCTGCCAAGGATGAGCTGCGGATTGCCGCCTCCCATCTGGCAGAGCGATAAATGAGCAAATGCGCCGACTCCGAAGCGAAAACGCAACGAGTGCGCCCATCTGCTAGCCGAGGAGCATGCGAGCATCTCTTAATGGTTTAGGGGCTTAACCTTATGGACCTAACCTGGTCCAGCAGCGAGCTAAGTTGCGGCCGTTTTTTGGTTGTGCTAACATTTTGCACGAGTAATTTTCGCCCACACACGCTAAATGTAGCAAACGTTCCCGGTTTTCGCAGATGCCTGGAGCTTGCCATGGCTTGCACCATGGCCAGCGTGACGCGGAAGTCCCTCTACAGCAACTGCTACCGGTCGCACAGCTGCAACGAAAAGTACCGGGGGTCACTCTTCTCCTGAGCGCCCGGTCACTTTCTGTCCCTTGCCAAAAACACTGCGCACGGCGTTGCGGGTGGACGAAGACGCCCGCCTCTTTTTTTGGAGGCACGACTTTGCCAATGCGTGCACCAAGATGGTGGTAGAGCACACTTGCAGCACGTGCTCAAAAGCGACGCCAACTGCACGCTTGTAGCCCGTCCGGAGCACACGAGTTCCGCTGCAGTGCTAATTCTTCAGTGCCATCTTGCACAGTCTCTGCCAGGACGAAGGACACGCCCGCCATCGTACGTACGGACATTGTTGAAGGACTAGCCTGGACGTCCTATCAGCCCGCGTAGGCCGCCATCGTAAGTTTCAATGTACATGCGTGCGTGATTGACCCACTTTGGGCACAATTTTAAAAGTTTGTGTGTATGTGTGTATAGTTGGTGGGCCCAAGCTTGCCGCCATATTCAAGTTCGCATGTTACAATTTGTGTTCATGTGTGTGTGGGTTCATGTGTGTGTGAGAGACAGAGCTGTGTGTGTAAGATGTGACCATCCTACACTTCGTCCCAATCGAAGGCTGGAACGGAGTTCGCCCTTTTCGCAGTTCCGAGGAAGACGTCCCGGCATGACTTTCAAGCGTCGGCCATTGTGACGTAACGGCGGCACATTTGGATTGTGACGTCATCAGCCTCGCTGCGTGCACCGTGTGGGTGCCCGTATAAGCCAGTCCGTAGTTCACAAAGCTGTCCATGCGTAACAATTTGTGGCTAGTTGATTCAGGCTTTACCAACACGCCGGTCTCTCACAAGTGAGGAAGAAAACACGTCACGTCAACATCCGGCCAAGTGAAACGTTTCCGTGGGTGCAGTTCCACATCAGTTCATCATGCAGTTAATCCGGACTATATCCAGGCGTAAATGCTGTAGGGCCGCGTGCTCAGATTTGGGCGCACGTTGAAGAACCCCAGGTGGTCGAAATTTACAAAGCCCTTCTTTACGGTGTTTCTCATAATCACATGGTGGTTTTGGGACGTCAAACCCCACATATTAATCAATCGATTCGGACTATATACTGTAACAACTAAGAGAGTTCCTGTCATAATTAAACGGAAAAATTACGCGAAACTCTTATTAAAACACATTTAGTATGTTAACAGAACGTTTAGCGGTGAACCTCGGAAAACGAAATGCATCGTTAGTACTTTTCACTCATTCGCCACAAGACGAGACGCTAGCCGAGCTATTGTCTTTTCGGCACACCGGACCATAGCCGCTCCCATTGAATGAACGTATGAAGCCTCGAACAAATCCGAAAGGCACTGGCATTTGCACTGCTATAACAAGCGATCATGTGCTATAGGTTATATTGCCCAGCTCAATTGTTAGCCGTCGGGACACGATAGCAGGCTGACGAACATACGTGGTCACAATGACAAAATGACGCGCTCGCCCTGCAGCCAGCAGCACTACAAAACGCCCGGCCGCTGGTTACTGTCCTATAGTAGACGCTTTGCAAACGGATGCACCAATTACACTGTCAATTGGTACGGCTTTGTGGCCGATAAGTGTGTACACATCCGATACGCCAATCAAACGTTTTCGTCGATTACTAGCTCACCAACTGTAAACAAAAACAATCGTTACTTTACGTCAATGCAATGTCTAATAGTTATTCAGCTATCAGAAACGTTGACTATACGCAGCGAATCTACTTAGCAGGAGCATATCGACTTTTCTCAGACAGTGCAAGCCCAACTCTGGTTCTGTCTCTATTCTTCTTTGCTTCAGACATCCTGCTTGTGATATTGCTGCTTGATTATAGCATATAACATAGGGACACAAGTTCCGTGACTAGTTAAACCTATTGCTGCCCCGCAAAAGCAGCGCCAGCTTGTCAGTTGCCCAGATCAGTTTTGTGTAAGAGAGAGAGAGAGGGCAGAGCGAGAAACGAACCGCTGTCCACCCTTCGTCGCGACGAGTCCTCGTTATCGAGCGCAACGTTACGTAGCACGTCCTCCGAGAAATCTACCCAGCGTCGATGATCCCGGAGGTCATCCCTCACATCATCGCCCTGCACGCTAAACATAAACCAGAGCGAGAAAACATTACGCTCGTTACGAGGAAGGGCTATTCGCAGAAGGGGAGGCGTCAAAATGTTTTTCCGATGGAGTGGGGAGAAGGGAAGATGGGTTGGTGCAATGTAATCTGGAGTGTCAGCTGTGCCATTGACCCTTAGCCCAAATCTATAGATTTAGGCTAAGTGTACCCGAAGGCTGACACTATAGTGTCAGCGAGGGGACAATAGGTGACAAAATTTAAGAAATGCAGCAGCAATGGGCGCCCATGGAGGACTGAGCAAACAAAGAAGGGGGGGGGGGTAAGTGAGACTGCTCCCCCCTGAAATTTGGAATGATATTTTTTGGTGCAGTAAGTAATAACCTAGATAACGTAATGGGCAGTCAGGTCACGCACATCTGTGTGAAACAGCCAACTTTGCACGTTACACATTATTACTAATCCTTGTTCATATCATTGCAGTAATACAAAGGCTGCCTGTTCTATTCCCTGTCCTTCCGTCCATCAATCCTCCCCCCTGTTCTAAATGCCCCCCCCCCACCTGTGGGGTGTTCTCTCCTGCAAGAAGTTCCGAGGACAACTCTTGGCATCACCCTCATGCTCCTGAAACCCTTTCTTCTCTATGGCGCCAATCCTGATCAGCAGACGCTCGTTGGAAACACTAACCATGGTACCAATTCTGCTCACTGCTTAATTAATGAGAGCATGATCAGACAAGGGCTATATAACACTGTGGCAAGAGAATGTGGTGTGAGTGCATTGATTTGCTCTACTATTATAATGATGTGAATGTTGTGCAGTTGTGTGGTCATTTGAACATTGCGTAATTGCACGAGTGAATGCATGTCGCATGTCTTAAAAGAAGGTATCTATGTATTAGTGCGACCACAAATTATTCACGAAAACACCGAAGGCACCGAGACGACACGAGAACCGCACCACGTTGCCTCGTTCGCTGCAATACGACACGACGTGTATAACCTGCCTGGTCTTTTAACATATCTCACCCGCATGATGCTATTTTGCGTCGAGAAATGTCGGTTGCATTTATGCCAAAGGAAAGAACTAACGCGAAGAACAATTAAGTGTACTCCTAATTGGACTAATAGCATCAAAGCAAAACACGTTAATAAATTACGCATCTGTTCAGAGTGGATATAGCCAGAGAATACCGCTCGGCGTTTATTAAACGAGTCCGACTATTACACAATCACTTGCCTGATTTGTTGTACCCTAACAACAGCAGGTGAAAAAAGAAAAGTAAACAGTACAATCAGACATGACAAGCAATGTCTCGGTAATCGCCGTGCAGATCCGCGCAACGTGATGCGGTCCAGTGTGCGTTCGTTCTAATGTACATACATAGTATATATATTTATAGGAAGTCGTACGTAAAACGTCCAAGATATAAAAATGAAACGCGTCCACATGTATACCGCATATCTATTCATTTCTCAGCGCCGTTCGATGCATTTAAATGCAGTTCGCCCGTGGGCAACGTGCGCGCGCATATATACTCTCGCATATGAGTATATTCTTTGAACATGTGGCTGCGACTGACGTCGGTCATATATTTTATGAATCCCTGCTGCTTGCGCTCGAGTTTCGTAAAGCTATAGTTGTTCGGACCACTGACACGCCTGCATGTGCTGTGAAAGTTAGTTATTAACGCGCGTTCACGTGCAGGAGAATGATCTGAGCGTGAGGTTAGACGGAAAAAAAAATATTGGAAAAAACAGAACGATTAACAGAATCAGCAGACTTGTCTACGAAATATCAAATGTCGATGGTAAAGCGAAGCATATAGAAAAGCGTTTGCGCTTATAGGCTTAGCAACGTCCAGCGGATCGTACTAATGCGGGCGAGCCTCTCAGCAAACAGCGACCACATATCGTTCTTCGCGCCCGCCAGGCGGCGCTCACCGCCCTACTGGCGCGTCAAGAAATGCAGATTAAGGAGTGCGCCAGAGCGGACAAGGTTCGCAACAGAAACATGTATATTTTGGCAAGCTGGAACTCAATGCAGCAACGAAATGCCTGCCTTTTGCCGGCTAAACATCTATAACGAGCAGAACTACACGAAAGCACATATGTGGTAAGCATCCATAAACCAATAACCCGAGCTGTATCGTTGCCACAACCTAATAATGGTTAGACAGGCCATGAAACGGTCACCCAAAATTTGTGGCGTTTAGCGAAAACTAGTCGTAGTTGGTCGGCTATGTCTATACAGATAAGTAAGGTGGACTGTAAAAGATTATTTACGTGTAAAACAAGCCTAGAAGTCGCTGGCTGAAACCCCATGCCCCAACCCCCGGCGATCGCCGTTTTGTTGTGACGTGTGTGACGTAATGCGCAACAAGCAGCGGAGGTGGCGTTCTTACCGAAGTTTGAGCCGCTCCATAACGTTTAATTTCAGTTCCGAACTGAAACTAAATTATCTTCATTTCACGCGCCAGCTGACTACGTAAAAATACATGATCGACCAAAACGCAGACGATTGCACAGCTAGCTGCTTGTTACGTCACGGCTCGCAAATGCACCAGTGTTGCTCAACTTTCTGGCCACTCATTAAATTATCAATTAAGTTCTCGAGCGTATGCGCTCAAACTTTGCCAGATTATCTGTGAATGCACATAAATTAAACCACATAAAACAAATTATGATCGAAAATTGGGTGGCGTGGCCCCTTTATTAACTGCTGCACCGGTATGTTTGTTATCCAGGCTGTGCTTTTCAAATCCCAGAAAGACAAGCGGAAGTACCTGCATACCCACACAACAGCGCTCAACCTTCGTGCCGAGGCAAAAGGGCACCGCGACAAGTTACGGGCCCACCTTCGATGATAGTAAGACTAGTCGGTTCCTTGCACTTGAAAAAGTGCACACGCGCCTATTGAATAGGTGTGCTTTATGCTACCCCAGCAATTAGTGATGTCATTCATTGGTGACCTCGTAAAACGCTTGCGTTGAGGCCACACGGTGCAATCATAGTGATGGGGTCATATAGGCGCACGCGAAGACGCAACAAAATGGAGGTTACGTTGGATGCGACACGATGATGTCATTGGAAGGAGCTGCCAAATTGCATGCGATCTGTAACGTGTACTGTCACGGCGATCTTGAAATTCTACGTTTGAAGCCTGAATTGCGACATTGAATATCCGTATTACAGGCAGAAACTCTTTTCAAGTCTTTAACCAAATTTTCTATTAATCCCAAAAGGATCTCCTGGTATCCTAATTTTGATGACTTAAATCACGGGGCGACACTACGAATCTCCATGAAAAAGGTTCAAGGTAGTCCAGTGATTTACAATCCAGTATGTCGTCATTTGAAATGTGCCCCCACATTCACGCGCGTTCCTCCATCAGACAAATGGTCGCATGGTCTCCTAATGCATTTGCCTAAAACGAACCGAAGGCGTAATGCCTTCTTCACATTCTAAAACGAATCGAAGTTGCAAGTTTTGGTGCCTGTGAAATGATGATGACATCATTGGTTAACAACTTTATTGCTTGTCCGGCAGAGTATCACGTGGACCTTTTTTCTTTTTTTTTTTTCATTTCTCCTGTTGACACCAACAGTATACTACAGGACACCTATATACTCACTGCAGGGTACGTTATCGATATGCTGTGAAAATGGGAGTCCCACTTGCTCTGTGGGAAACAGCATGGTCGAGGTTTCAAGAAACGAATCGTTACTAACAGCACGCGAGAACATATAATTACCGAAGAAATAACATGTTTCACCGTAATTGTCAACCTGCGCAATAGGCGCAGGTTGACAATGAGAGGACCACTGTAAAGAAAGCTGCCAAGGATGTTTGCTCGCATAGCACACTTGC